TGGATTACATAGGGTGGTGTGCTTCCGCCATGTAGACTTATGTGACATCTCACTTACATGCTTGCTTGTTTTAAGAGCAGTCTTTAAAACTTCAAACACTATTCTTTCTGAAAACCAGGCACCATCTGCTTTCTTTGCCACACTTTACCATAGCGCCCATATCTTCAGTGATCAGTTTATGGGGGTGGGTATGGAACCAGGTCATGCCATAATAACCAATTATTCCTAGATTAGGGCTAAGAGTAATTGCAAGCTCAAAATCCATTTGTATATTTATTGTTTATATATGTCCCTGTTTTGCTTTAAAGACATCTTTATTATTTTGTTGAAAGACATTATAAATTATCCCTTTGGGGAATATGATAGTTCTCTTTGAATTATTAAGTTAGCCAATTGTATGGAATTTAGAACACTGTCAAGAAAAAGAAAGTATACACGTATTGGACAGTTTCTAGATCAAAATACATAGATTATTGATTTGTACAGTTTAACAGCTTAGATGAATGAACACTATGTACACAAACAATGAAGGTTGGAAATAGGGCAAAATTTCCAATCATGCTCATTCACAATGGCAGAACTGGACAAAACGTCAGACTGAAGAACATTACTGCTTCTTAATGGAAACTTGTTTATGTTATTATAAATTCTTTAATGGAGGTCAGGTCATTGAATTATATTTGTTCCAAGGTGTGTGTGTGTGTGTGTGTGTGTGTGTGTGAGAGAGAGAGAGAGAGAGAAAGAGAGAGAGAGATGGGGAACCAGGAAGGAGCTGTATTCTGAAAATTGAGCCTAAGTGACAAAGAGAGAATCCTATATACGTAAAATCCAGCCCTGGCTTCACCTCCAGCTTGCTTTTGAACCTTGTGTGACTCTCCTAAACCTACCACCCTTTTCAGGACTACAGATAAAGTTTGGAACCATCATCACACTGACCTATGCAGCATTGCTCTCACTATTCCAATCCCAGGCTCAAATTCAATATTAAAAACACAGTAACTTCACTATTAATCTTAGAATCCACCTAGTGCTGCAAGATCAATTATAGGATTGGAAGAGAGGCGATTTAGAAGGATTTTAAAAATTCTTTCCTAGACTCACAAACTAACCAGTTGCTCTTGGGCTGATTCCTACTCAGAGCTGCCCAGTGAGTGTAAGAGTAGATCTCGGTCAAGGTTTTAAATGGCTGATTTCTCAAATCACCAGGCCTTTTTTCTGAGGCACCTCATAGTAGACGCAGACTGCTAACCCTTCAGTTAGCAATCAAGCACATTAACAGGTGCTCCACCTGAAGGCTTCATCCCATCTGCCAAAGGTGAGGGACGGTGGGGAGAAATGCAACTAATAAAATAACTCTCAAAAACAGAGGAACGTTAGGAAGTCAATGGAATCCCCATGGAGTCACAATCAACAGCACACAGGCTCCGGCGTGCAGGGCAGGTGCTGCCCACCTGTCACCTAGAATAATATGCTCTGAAAGGGCATTCTTTATTTTGATGAGAATCTTGTAAAGCGTTGTCTTAATTTTTCCAAGAGAAAGCCCCACTCATGCTTATTTACTAAACCCAGATAAGAGTACCAGCCACCTCCTTCTTTGCTCCTGATTGCCTGCCGAGCATTGCCCCAAAGCCCCTTTGTGATGAGCCCCACCAAACAGCCTGCTCTGCAAAGCTCCGGCTTTCTCTAAGTGCCTATTCAGCCCACGGAGGGGACGGTTTGTTTCTGGCTGCATTTAGCACATTCAAAACGTGCAACTCCTAACATCAGGAATTTGTAAGCTGTAATTCTTCTTCTCCATCTCCTAGCTCCCATTTCTTTCGCTGGCGACCCAGCTCTTTATAAAGATTTCTCTGACTGCCGGGGGGCAGCCCCCGTTGCCGCTATCACAAGTGCCTAAAGTTGTCTGTGTTGAAAATATTTATAATGAGGCAGGGCTCCTGGAGCCTCTCGGGAAGTGGCGCCAAGTCCTGTTCTTTCATTCCACGGTTTCCTGCAGGTGGCAACAATAGGCCCATCCACCCCTTCAGAAAAGGGTACCTACTTCGGAGGAAAATATACCTCTCTTGCTTTGATGTGCCCATGTGGCATCACACTGTGCAATTGAGCTGCCTGAGCTTCATTTGTGTGGGGGCTAGTGTTTCTAGAGGGTTAGGATGTCAAAGTTGACCAATTTTTTTGGTAATATGTATTCTCATTTCCTGCCACTCCCAATTTTTCAATCTCTTCAGAATGAGTTGTGCGAGTCCAGAGCCATTCAGTCCATAGGATTTGTGTATCCCTATTCACATAGCAGCAAATCAAAGCTGGCGCAACAACATGGCAGCTATAGCAGTGCACACCTTCCGAACATTTGCACAACACTTAGGTGCATAGAGTGTATCTACCTATCAATATAAACCCCACCAAACCCACTGCCCCTCAAACCTACTCTACAATGTGTCCAAGACTGTCAGTCCACAGGGGTAGGCAGGCTCATCTTTCTCCACGGAGGGGCTGGGGAAGTTGAACAACCAACCTTGCACCAACGGACACCACCCAACTGATGGCAGTCCAACCGACCCCACCAGGAGCCCCCACATTTCATAATCTCAGAGAGTAAATGAATTGCTTTCCCTGGCTCTAGGTGTTCCTTACCGACTAGTTAGATTCATGTATTTTTAAACTGAAGATCTCTATAACAAAATGTTGCAATGTTAAGAACTTCAAGTGTAAGTTCAGCAATGTTCATTACATTCACCAGGTGGCAGTTGGTACCACTATCCAATTTCAAAAGATTTTTATCACACCATGCAGCTAAGCCATAACACCACGTCTCCCCCTCCTCATTCTTGGTAACCTTAAAAAACAATAACAGAAACAACATAAAAAGGCCTTTATCTCTCTGTATTTGGGATGATACAGCATTTCTCATGTCTTATCTGACTTATTTCACCAGCATAATGTTCTAAAAGTTCATTCTTACCGTAGCATGTATCAGAAAGGTGTCATTTCTCTTTGTGACTGAAAATACTAGTACTTTAATAGGATCAGTGGAGTGGTGTCCAGTCTTTCCCAATGGAAAAACCTTATTGCCATTGAGTCTATGCTGATTCATAGAGACTATTGGGCAGAGTAGAATGGCCTCTATGGGTTTCTATGACTGTAAATGTTGATTGGAATAGAACCCTTACTTTTCTCGGGTGGAGCTGCTGGTGGTTTTGAACTGCCGACCATGTAGTTAACAGTCCAATGCGTAACCCACTATAACCACCAGGGCTCCTCCCTGTCCCGTCTAGTCCTGAGTAAATTCACGTTTGTTGCTCTCCTGTAGTTGATGCCTTCCAAGTTCTTGCAGTTACAGGATTCACTGAGTTTCCCAAGGTCTAGAATGTGTTGTTAAAATATATATCTTTTAAGAAAGTAAATAGAAATCTCTGATAGAAATGAAAGAAAGAAAAGCTGAGTGTCCACACAGTCCCTGCCTCTCCTCAGCTGCTTTTCACAATTGGGGCTACCTCCTCCCGAAGCCAGGGGGCGCTTCAGGGGCCTGGTCGACCACCTTAAATGCAGGAGGGCTGGGCCAAGGGGCAGGGGCAACCTTGCTTCTTGTCATTCCAGCTCCACGCTGTCTTTATGCTCTTGGAAGAAAGGAAACTAGGGAGTGTTGTGTGCGCCGCCCAAAAGACCTTCCTTGAGCATGGTGTCACTGTCCGTTTCCTCCTGGTGCTTTGCAGAGAAGAGAGAGAGGTGGGCGCCCACCCTGAGGACGGCTAGAGTGAAAGGAGACTCCCTGGAGGGTGTTTCCCTTTGTTCTAAAATTTGCATGAGCTGACCCAGCCCGGTCCCTGCTTTTCCCACTTTCCTCTCCAACAGAAGGCCGCATTCCCGGAAAACAAGGCAAAGACATACGTCACAGTAAGCAGGCTGGTGATTGCTTCCGAACCAGAATGAAGCATAGAGCTCTGACAAATCAAAAATGTCCCTCCTTCCCATGGTGGTTTCTGATTTCATCATAATTCAAATCACTTTGCTGTTGGAGGTACGTTTAGGTCAGCCAATGTGTGCTTGGAAATTTCCCCTCGAGCCCCTCTCTACCCACTTTCCCAAGGCCATCTCAAAGGTTTAGTTCTTCTTACACTGTTGTTGTGCCAGTTACCAGCCTGACTCTGACCCCCAGGACCCCATGTGTGTAGAATAGAACTGTGCTTGACAGGGTCTTCCCAGGCTGTGCCCTTTCAGAAACACATCTCCAGGCCAAGCTTCCGAGGCGCCTCTGGGTAGGTTAAACTAGCAATGTTTTGGCTAGTAGTTGAGCACTTAACTGTTGGTGGCACCCAGAGACTCCCTTTATCAATCACAGAACTTGAAACCCTGAACATTATTCATCTTTATACTTATTAAAGCATGTTCCCAAAGAGGTCTACAGATAGACATTTTTGGTAACATGCTATGCTATAGACACAGACACACACACACACACACACACACACACACACACACACACACACGTTATATATAAACTACCACGGAGCAACACCTGATCTTGGTATTGGAAAATGAGGAGTATCCCAGTGCTGCCAGGTGAGAACTCTGAGCGCTCCTCCACACTCTGTCCTTTTTACCCCCACTCAGGCCGTGAAGGAAGGGCCCTGCTTGGAAGGCAGACAGGGAAATGGTACATTTTAAGCACAAAACTCAGCAGGGAAAATGGAGAACCCCCAGGAGGAGGGTTTGACACTTGGGCAGGGCATTGAACAGCCATGTGAAAGCAGCATAGCAGAGTCCAGCCGTTCTCAACTTGTGGGCCGTGGCCCCTTGGGAGTCACCCAATTCCTAACAGTCACAAAATGACAGTGACGAAGTAGCAACAAAAGTCATTTTATGGTTGGGGGGTCACCACCCCATAAGGTACTACATGAAAGGGTCGCAGCATTTGGAAGGCGGAGAAGCACTGGCGTAGTCTCTGAGCAGACCACAGCCTGTGCAGAAACCTAACTGTTTGTTTTTGGGGTTGCTTGCAGATGATCACTCCAGGATACTGCTGAAGTCAGAAAATAGCCACAGCAACTCTGACTACATCAACGCCAGCCCCATCGTGAGTACATGACCTGAGCTAGGAGTGAGCGCTTGCTTGCTCCGTATGAAGGAGCCACATCACAAGAGGAGGTCTTATTGGGGTTGTGGGAGGGTTTGGGGGGAGGGGGGATGCAAGGACTGTGTGCCATGCTTTAGTTAAAAAAAAACAAAACATCAACCTCAAAATAACTCACTGCCATTCAGCTGATTCTGACTCATGGTGACCCTCTAGGACAGGGTGGAACTGGTCCTATGGGTTGTAACTCTTTAAGGATGTAGAGAACATCATATTTCCCCTATAGAAGGGGCTGGTGATTTCAAACTGCTGACCTCGTAGTTAGCAGCCCAATATATAACCAGTACTGTACCAGGGCTATGGGTCTCTCTAAGTCAGAAGCTGGTACTTAATCTCAAGTCTACAGGGGCAGAGGCTGGCTCTCCATCTCTTAGCCTGTCTTCCTGCGCCTTCCTGGCTAGACCTCCTGCACCAGGTGGCAGCTGTTGTGTAAGGCAGGGCAGGTAGGGCGTGCTAAGTCTAATGATGGGTAGAATGTCTAGCAACAGCAGCTCGATCCTTCATTAACAGGAGTTGGTGACTCTGAGAATAAATCTCCATTGGCTATATTTCCCTTTTCTGAAGCAACTTATTCCTATACTTTTTCTAGAAGAATGAGGAAAAGCCAAACCCAAATCTGTGACTTCTTAAAACAATTGAAGACACGATGGTAGATTCATAATTACAGGTTATTTCCCTGCAGGTTAAGTCAGTGGGTGGGGAGCCTACTCTTAAGGAAAACGAGAGTGTTCTGTGACTGTGTACTCAGGGAGCTGGCACTGTAGAGGAGTGTGAGATTTGAAGCAGTTTCTATTTCTGGAAACACTGGGTGGCAGCTTCTTATAATCCATTTGTTTAAGACCCCTGTGAATAGCAGGCGTCCCTATCTTCTAAAGAGTTCCTTAGCAGCCCGTTCCTGGTGTGGACCCATCACCTACTGTCCTGCGCTCCATTTGAGTATTGTGTGGAGCTTAGGGACAGCAGAAAGAAACTGCCAAACATGTGATAGCCAGGAGCCCGCTGAAGGTTGAACAAAGAAGAGGAATGAGACAGGTTAAAAGGTCAGATTTAAGCGATGACTCGAGCCAGGTTTTCACAATTAAGTTAGAATGATTGTAGGTATGAAGAGAGTGAAATGAAACCGCTCAAAGATTGAACTTTTTTCAGAAAGCCCGACTGACAGCATTTTAACCCACTGTCAGAGGAAAGGTAGAGATTTAATATGTGTTTCCGAGGGGTCTCGGTGGCAAAGCCCACCTCTTTATTTTTCTCCAGTGTGGTCTTCTGGGAAGTGTCAGCGCATCTCACTGCAGTTTCCAATTTACTTTGGATCAAATGTAGTCCCTACAAGACGTAGCGCAGCTGTAATGAGCCTACAGGGGGCAGATGGAGAGGACGTAGCATCAGTAGGATTCCCCCCCACTCCCGCCCCAGACTCATAGCAAGCCTTCATGCCAAGTACTGACCATCTTGCTTTGGCCCTTCACAGTAGGCTTTGCATCAGAACAGTTACCCATCTGCTTATAAGCAGAGCTGTTGATAGCAGACCATTTTTATAGTTGTTGATTCTATTTATGCCACTCTATCCATTGCACATTTATTGTTGTTGGTTCCAACCCACGTTGACTTTATGCACAACAGTAGGAACCGCCGCCTGGTCCTGTCCCATCCTCACAGTGGTTCCTATGCCTGAGCCCATTGTTGTAGCCATGGAGACCACCCATCTCCTTGAGGGCCTCCTCTCCTTCACTGCCCCTCCGCTTTGCCAAACACACTGTCCTTCTCCAGGAACTGCTCTCTGCTGATTACATGTCCAAAGTACTTAAGACGAAGTCTCACTGTCCTTGCCTCTAAGGAGCTCTATGGCTGTACTTCTTCCAAGACCTTCTAATTTTCATAGATTCATACTTTGCACATTCCAAGTTCCAAGCTCTATGGCACATAGCTTATTATTAGGGTTCAGCGCATCAAGTCACCTTTCTGGAAAATTCAAAACCCTGTACAACAGAGCACCATGAAGCACACTTGGCTTAGAACAAGGTGAGTTACAAGTGAAGAGTTGAGTTGATCCATTGAACTTGGTCTCTACTCCCCTGAGCCTGAATTTTTATTCATTGTTTTTTGTTTGTTTTAAGGAGGGAATGAGTCATAGCTTTCATTTCTGTACCTGCGGCAGAAGTAGACCATAAAGCTTCATTTCACCTCGTGTTGTAGATGTTCTTACTTGAAGCTGTATTTAGTCTTTCATAACCACTATGTGATGTGTGGAGTATTTTTCTATCGGAAGTTTTTTAAAAATCAAGGCAAAGCCTCATTGATTTTCCAATCTCTCACTTTATGCATGTAACATAATAACTCATAAAGCTGAGTTTTATAAGGGCCTGAGTTTGACTCCTAAAAGATGGACATTAATGATGTCAACTGTCCAGGGGATGGAGGGTGGGGATGTTTTCTTCCTGCCGTGGCATCTAGTCTCGAGAATGAGCCATGTGAGAAGGCCAGAC